CGCCATCAGGGAACTTGGACGCAGGTTTGAGACCTGCATGGGCCAGCAAACTGTTGATGCTTGATATTGGACACCAATGACTTGCACGTGCAAAGTGCTAAGAGAGTCTTAGAAATTACACGTGATGGATCCATGAGATTAGAATATGGTACTGAGATTATATATGTTGCAGAAAACATAAATAATAGACTGACAAGAGAGATTTTTATAGTGGTTCGGATGCTTAAAGCAAATCCTACATCCACTGTTATTTTATATTCTCTAGCTATTTCTATGATATTGCCCATAAGGCATACAAAGATAGAGAAATAATTTGTTTACAGAGAGAAATAATGAAGCTCAAATCTATGCCCAGCTCTCATATGCCCAACTCCTCATTTTCGTGAAGAGAAGTGCCAATTTATACACATTTGAGGTCAATGTAATGAGTGTTTTGCAAGTTGCCTTGACACATGGACAACTCTCATCCGTTCTTCTCTTAAAATGAGATAGGGTTGGTATAAGATATCTTTGAGGCGGTATGGGCTTGACAGGAAGTACAATTTGTCTTTTAGGCACTTATTGAGCTGGCATCAGCGTGACTTTTTAGGCATAACAAGCCTATATAAAAGTTTGTTCCATGAATAAATATGCAGAGTGTATATTGTATTTTCAAAGTTTTTGTGTTGTCTTTTCAAAGCCTTTGAATGAATTCTTTTTACATTATTTTATTTTAGTTGCAATAGTGGTATCAAAACCACAAAAGGAGAGTAAGAAAACTGTGAGGTGGAGAGTTCAAGGAGAAGTGCACAGATGGCTTCCAAAACCTTTACCCAACCAACCATTCCACGCTTTAATGGTCATTATGACCATTGGAGCATGCTCATGGGGAAGTTCTTGAGGTCCAAAGACTATTGTCCAGTTGTTGTTTTTGGAGTAGCAGAACCAGTAAAAGGTGTTGCGTTGATAGATGCACAAAAAACAGAGCTTGAAAGGCTAAAGGATTCTAATTAATTGGTTTCAAGCTTATAGGTGTTTGTAAGAAGAAGAATCACACTATTTTGAATATGGTGTGAAGCCGTAATTTTGATAAGGAGTGGTATTTCAAAGATTTTTTTTGCCCGAAGTAGTCAATTGGAGCATTCATATATTGAACATCATTTATTGAACAGAAGCCTTACACTTGCTATTCAAAATATGACACTAGAGGAAGCATGGAGCGAACGAAAACCTACGGTAGGTCATTTAAGAATTTTTAGGTGTGTTGCCTATGCCTATATTCCATACGAGAAGAGGAAAAAGCTAGATGACAAGGGAGAGAAATGCATTAAATGCATTTTTCTTGGTGTTAGTGATCAATAAAAAACTTATAAGCTTTACAATCCAAACACTAAGAAAATACTTATTAAACCTAGCCATGGAACAAAACTGTTGTTAGAGAACAAATTCCAACAAGCTTTGATGGAGAAAATGTTAAGGAAGCAAAGTAACCCTAGCAACAGCTTGTTTCAGCAACAACTGCTCTTAAGAATCCTCAAAATAAAGGTCTTATAGCCTTTGAAATCACACCAGTAACACTAGAAGTTGATGAACAGGTTGAAACAATAGCTGGTTCACGTCCTCATCATGTTCAAAAGAGACCAGTATGGATGTCAGATTATGAGGTAATCGAAATTGATCAATCTGAAGATCCACTCACTCAATTTGCTATATTTTCATATTGTTACCCAACAACTTTTGAAAGTACTATTAAAGAATCAAAATGGCAGAAGGCTATGGATGCTAAAATTACGGCCATCGAAAGAAATGATACTTGGGAGTTATCTGATCTTCCTAAAGGGCTCAAAACAATTGGTGTAATCAAAAGATCGTGATGATCGACTCACAACCCAAAATAGTGGTGTTTTAGTGTATGTGGATCTTGAAGATGATGATAATGGTGGTAGTGGTGGTGGTGGTGAGATGATGGAATTTTATGGAATTCTTGATTCAGTTGTTGAAGTGAATTATATTTATGACAGAAGTGTGATTTTGTTTAAATGCACTTGGTTTGAAACTGACCCTAAAAAGAAATGGGTGCGAAGGGATTTTCACTTTACAAGCATTAATGTGAGTCACAAATGGTATGCCGATGATCCTTATGTGTTAGCATATCAAGCTAAACAAGTTTTCTACATTGATGATCCTAAGTTAGGGGCCAATTGGAAAGTTATACAGAAGGTGCAACATAGGCATTTGTATGACATTTACGATAAAATTGAGGAAGATCAATCGACCACGCATAATGCATATCAAGCCAATAATTCAAATGAATTTAGTTTTCATATTGATGCAGAAGTTAATGAACAAGAAGAACTTCATAGGGTGAATATGGAACCAGAGGGTTCAATTTATGGAGCCCAGTAGTAGAGTTAGTGATGAACATACCGGTTTCATAAATGATGATAGTGAAAATGAGATGAGTAATGAAAATTGCACCACCGAAAGTGGAGATGTACAATTTGAAGATGATATTGAGAATTAATAATATTTATTATTGTCATCCAAATTTAATTTGCATAATTGTGATGTGATTTTTCTTTGTGCATTAATTTTAATTTGTTTTCTTTAATATTAATAAATATTATTAATTTAATGTACTAAATTTAACATTTAAATATTAATATTAAATAATATTATAATAAAATAAAAAATATTACTAACCATAACCTAATAATAATAACAATAATAAATAATAATGATTCTAAACAGCAACAAACAAGTACCAAACTTAAGCTACCAATAGTGAAAACCTGAAAAACAATTTACCCCATGGTGCTTTTCGTATTTACAAGATAAATAATAGTAATAATAATTTTGATTTCTTTTATTAATTACTGATTGGTTTTACACTTTCAGTTATTGTCATATAAATATAAAATTATGTTAAAAATTAAATTCTAACTTACTAATAGAAATGATTTTAAGAAAATTGACACCAAAATGTTTTCATGAAGGAACATAGATTGCATCGTAATACGTTTTTGGCGTTGTTTTTTATATCTGCGTTGCCAAAAAAGTTTCCCAACAAACAATTTGTTGCGTAGCCAAATGGATTTTGCGTTGTTTTTTATATTTTCATCGCCAAAAACATTTCCTGACGAAAATTTGTTGCGTAGCCAGATGGATTTTGCGTTGTTTTTTATATTTTTGTTGCCAAAAACGTTTCCCAATGCACAATTTGTTGCGTAGCTAGATGGATTTTGCATCGTTTTTTATATTTTCATTGCCAAAAACGTTTCCCGATGCACAATATGTTGCGTAGCTAGATGGATTTTGCGTCGTTGTTTATATTTTTGTCGCCAAAAACGTTTTTCGATGCACGATTTGTTGCATAGCCAAATGAATTTTGTGTTGTTTTTTATATTTTCATCACCAAAAAGGTGTACCGACGGGCCTTTTGCTACATAGCCAAACCTCGTTGGCGTCACTTTTTATATGTTCGTCACAAGAAAACATTTTACAGCACCGTGCATTTGGGTTGATGAATACTTTTGGCTACGTTTTGTATTATTTTCGTCTCTTAAAAGTATCTATGGTGACATATAGTTACGTCACAAAACAACTTGGGCGTCGCTTTTTGTATTTTCATCCAATGTTTTAAAACCCAACTCGGGTGAAACCCAGCAAAGTTGACGGGTCTCGGGTTGACCGGTTGACAAAAACTTCTAAAATTCAGCAAATACACCCTTGGAAATTCGTTAAGTCCCTATAGGTTTGAAATTTAGTAAACACACCCCAAATACAAATCGGCTGGCGACTGGTTGTTGGCGGCCACACCCCAGATGCAACCCCAATCGTCCCTTGAGCCCATTCCCGTTAAAATATACCCAAGATCTGGCCGAAATAGCTTTGATTTCTGCCAGATCTCACCGATGCCAGCGTCGGTATTCCAGGCTAGATCTCATTTACGCCGACATCGAAAACACTCCCCATCACCTAGAAATTACTCCCCTCTTCCTCCCAACCAAAACCCACCTTTCCCTACCCTCGTTAGCCTCGCCAATTGCTGGCAAAAGCCGGTTGTTGCCGTTGCCAGTTTTCTTTGGTTTTTGATCGATTTACTCACCTGAAATCAACTCCATCACCACCATTGCATTCACTGAAACTTTCTCTTCAAAAGCCTTAACATTCCAACTGTCAATTGTTCGCTGATAATCCTCCCAAATCCTAGGGTTTTGGGTGAATGGGAAAAATATAAACCCGACCCGTTGAAGCTTTCGGATCCCAGTTGAACAGGTTAAACCGGCTAGGCCAAGCTGGGTTTTAAAACATTGTTTTCATTGGCAAAAACATTGTATGACGAATTATGTAGTCACTATATCCGTCGCCAATTTGCTTCCCGCCATCTCGTGCGAGGATTAGAAAGTCCGTGAAACTATTGGCAACCAATTTCATATTTCGTCGCTAATAGTTACCTTTGGCGACGAATTTTGAAATTGTCGCTAACAAAATCGTGGCTAAAAGCCTTTTTTGTTGTAGTATAAAGTGAGTCTACGAAACAAAACTAACTAAGAATGGAGAAGTTGACAAGTATAGGGCACGTTTGGTGGCTAAGGGCTACAAACAAGAGTTTGGTATGGATTACAAAGAAGTTTTTGCTCCTGTTGCAATGCATGATACAATTAGATTGGTGATTGCATTTGCTGCCCAAAGCTCATGACCCTTTTACCAACTAGATGTAAAGTCGGCATTTTTACATGGAGATTTGCAAGAGCAGATATTTATTGAACAACCTCCTAGCTATGTGGAAATTGGTAAAAAGCATAAAGTTTATAAATTAAAAAAAGCTATATATGAACTAAAACAAGCACGTAGAGCTTGGTATAGTCATATAGATGCTTATTTTCACAAGGAAGGCTCTAAAAAATGCCCACATGAGCATACTCTTTACACAAAACATGATGATGAGGGAAAAATGCTTATTTTATGCTTGTAACATGATTGAAAATTTTAAAAAGTTCATAATGCTTGAATTTGACATGTCGGATCTTGGAATGATGCATTACTTTCTTGGATTACAAGTAATGCAATATGTTGATGGAGTATTTATTTCTCAAAAGAAGTATGTGCAAGAAATTTTAGACAGGTTTCAAATGAGCAATTACAATCCTGTTACCTCACCAACAGAAGTTGGGTTGAAACTAACAAAAAATCCTGAAGGAAAGAAAATTGATGGCCCTCTCTACAAGCAAATTGTAGGAAGCTTGATGTACTTGACAGCAACAAGGCCAAATATCATGCATGTTGTGAGTCTTATTAGCAGGTACATGGAAAACAATAGAACTACATCTCCTAGCTACCAATAGGATATTTAGATACTTGAAGGGTACTACTGATTTTGGGTTGTTCTAAAAGAAGGGAGAAAAGTCAGATTTGATTGGGTTCACTAATAGTGATTATGCTGGAGATTTAAATGATTGGAAGAGCACTTTGAGATATGCTTTTATGCTGAGTTCATGGGTTGTTTCATGGTCATCGAAGAAGCAACCAATCATCACCTTATCAACCACTGAACCTGAATTTGTTGCTACATCAACCTGTGCTTGTCAACCTATTTGGCTAAAGAAAATACTTGAAGAGTTGCATTTCAAGCAAGAGAGAGCTATTGTAATTTATTGTGATAATAGTTCATCAATAAAACTCTCCAAAAATCATGTTCTACACAGTTGAAGCAAACAAATAGATGTGAAGTATCATTTCTTGAGGGATTTCATGAATGATGGAGTTATTGTGAAGATTATTCAAGATTTGCAAAATAAACTCTAGGGATCAACAAAGAGAAAGTTTTGTAAAATATGAACAATAAAAAGAAGGAGGAATTTTGCTATATATTTTTCATCCAATTTGGAAAGTTGTTTATATACAATAGAGAGAGTGATCCAAGTAAAAGAGAAACAAAATTGATCTTAACTGTCAAAACCAATTGGAAACAAAAAATTTTAGCTCAAACTGACCATTCGATCTGTTGCACTTTTGTACTTGCTTATAGTAGGAGAGGTGCTTTTTTTCCAGAATATAACTAGTCTTGAGAGGGAAAGTTCAAACACTAACACTTTCCAGTAACTAGTCTTGAGAAGAAAAGTCTAACACTTACGTAATGTCTATTACTTGAACTAACGACTGAATTTAACTTTGAGTGCAACTTGCACATTTCTTCAACATCGTCCCTCAAGCAAACTCAAAGAATTCTGTAGTATTATTTGCAACATTACTAAATCCAAAAGCTTTCCTACAACTTGCTATCAACAACAGATCACCACTTAAATCCAGTAATAACCATCAATATCAGAACATAAAAGTAGCAACTCTTTTCTGCATTCAGTAATAACAACCAACAACACACAAATTATTTGCAACATCAGAATCATCGAACCATCAACCGTCTTTTCTGCATTCAGTTATATAGAAAAATAACTCCAGTAAAGCAAATTCCATCAAAGCAAATTAAAATTACTTTCATTTTCAACATCCAAAGCAAGCTTCTCTTGCATTGTAATATTTCTGTCATCATCAACCACCATTCAGATTACTACTAAAAATTACTAGCTTCCATTTTCAACATTCAAAGCAAGCTTCTTTTGCATTATAACATTTCTGTCATCATCAATCGCCATTCAGATTACTACTGACTAATTAGAATTGTTTAACTAAAGGACCAACTTCCTCACTCAGTTTCTCTTCGTCCCTCAAAACAAGTCTTGGATGACTTGTAACTTCGTCCCTTAGACAAGACTTCAGTGGAGATGAGCAATGTATTTGAGTAATTTTAGGTGAATCAGAAACAATAGAATTAGAACCAAGAAGAATTGTGAGTTGATCTCTTAATTGTTGAAAACGTGGACCAAAGAGTGGCTTAGTGTGAAGATCAGCAATCTAAAATTCAGAGGATACATATTGCACAATTAATCGTTTAAAAGCAACCATTTCACGCATGAAACACATCTATCTCAATGTGCTTTGTGCGAGCATGGAGAATAAGATTTGAAGCTAAAGCACCAGTACTAGTATTGTCACACTAGAGTATTGGTGTAGAAGTGACAAAAATGTTGAGCTCTTAAAATACATTTTGAATCCAAGCTATCTTAGTAGAAGCTTGAGCAAGAGCTCAATATTCAGCTTCAGTGGATGAGAGTGCTACTACATACTGCTTCTTAGAACTCCACTAAATCAATTTTGGACCAAGATATATACAAAACCCACTAGTTGATCAACGATTAGAAAGGTTGTTGGCCCAGTCAGCATCCAGATACACTTCAAGCTTTAGTTCTCCTCCAAATTGCAATGTCAAACCGCAGTGAGAAGTGCCCTTAATATATCTTAACACATGCTTGCAAACTTGCCAATGGTTGACAGTAAGAGCTTTAAGAAATTGGCTAAGCTTATTGACAGCAAAGGATAGATCTGGTCTCATTAAGGTAAAGTACTGAATAGCTCCAATAGTGCTTTTATACACATAAGGCTAATCAAACAAGGGATTGTCTTCAAGATGGAGTTTTGAATAGACCACCAAAGGAATGGAACAAGGTTTGCAATTGTGTATATGTATTGTTTTCAATAGTAAATCTTGAGTATATTTTTGCTAACTCAATTTCATACAAGTTTTAGTTCGAGTAACCTCAATGCCAAGAAAATAATGCAACTGTCCTAGAATTTTTAGAACAAAATTGCCATTCAAATCACATACTACTTGATCAATCAATTGAGAATTAGTTCGTGTGATAACTATATCATCAACATATACTAGAATGTAAAGAATATTAGTACCTTGGTGATAGTAGATCAAACTAGCACTAAATGTGGAATTATTGAATCCCCAAGCTAGAAGTGCACCCTTCAATTTGTCGAACCAGGCTCTTAGAGCTTGTTTTAATCCATAAAGGGCCTTATGCAATTTACAAACATGAGTAGGATGATGTGAACTTACAAACCCTTCAAGTTGTACCATGTAAACATTTTCAGTTAAATCACCTTTGAGGAAAGCATTGTTTACATCAAGTTGGGTTACCTACCAATCGTGAAATACTGCTAAAGAGACAACAAATCTGATTCTGGAAACTTTCACTATAGGAGAAAAAGTTTCGAGATAGTCCAAACCAGGAGTTTGATGAAACCCCTTTGCCACAAGTCTGGCTTTATACATTTGTAGTGTGCCATCAACATTATATTTAATTTTAAAGATCCATTTGTTGCCCAAAAGATTCATGTCTTTAGAATAAGGAACCAAGGACCAGGTATTATTCTTCATTAAAGTTGTATACTCATATGTCATAACATTCTACCAATTTGGATCCTGTAAGGCTATAGATACTGATTTTAGTTCACTAGGTGGAGATGTGGTGGTTGATGATGCTAGAAGAGCAGCTACTTTGTTTCTAGAGCAATAGTGTTTGTAGAAAAGGTAACATCTAGTGAAAGGGTAGAAGGAATTTGGATATCCACATAGAGAGGAATATCTCGATAGGATTTGCCAGATTGAATGGTTTGAGGTGAGTGAATGGATTCAAAAACTGATGTGGATTCAAAGTGTGAAAATAAAGAGGATACTCGTGTAACAGAAGAGACGGTGTGTGTTGGAGTATGTGCCTTAGAGCCAATCAATTATTGTGGAATTGACTCTTTGAAATAATGTTTATTAATCAATAAAAAATGCATTATCCACTATATCACGTAAATCACATTATGTGTATAGATAAATGTCCTTAGGATGGTAGAACCGTGACAAGGGTATGAAGTGTTTCAGATCTTGATAGTGAGAACCCTATGATCACATATGGTGACCATTCTAGAAATGTCTGTAGCCCCAGTATTATTCTGACCAAGGACATAGATAATACGGTAAGACTATCATAGTGTTGAACGACCCTGTCAAAAAGCAGTGACTGATCTCACTTGTCAAGGTTGTTTGCAAACAACCTAGTGAAACACATGGGTGCTTGCTGTAGGCAAGTTCACTGGAAAGACTCACTAGAGGATTCAATATGGATGGTAACCCAAGTGAATATGGAATAAATCCTCTAACGGATGGTGGTGCATGTGATCCTTAGACTTGAGATCAACGGAGCGCCTTGTGCACTAATTAGTGTAGTTTGACACTAGCCCAACGTAGTTCTATTCAGAGCTATCAATATGGTAGTGATTAGCTACATTGAGAAGTGTATCGAGACTATGGTGGATCGACAAATGATTCATCACTCTTGGGTACAGGAGAAGTTATCTCACTGGGTAATTCAGTAAATGACAATGACACTAAATCTGTGGCCACAGTGGGATTGAGTTGATGCTCAATCCAATTTAATATTCCTGTCATTGGTCCAGTAACTGAATATAAACATGTAGAGGATATCTGAGGTTGACACTATTTCTGTACCTTAGTCTCGATGAGATAACAGTTGATGAAATAATTTGATTGCACGGTAACCTTACCATTGACAGGCTGCGATTTCGCTGAATCCAAATCTATCGGGTGGCCATGATGCCTTGCTAGGGGCCAATCTTGGTCTGTGTGTAGTGAGATAATTAATTGGTGTTAATCGTGATACTACACACTGCCGATATGATGAGGAGCCTATGAGTCACACACTTAGAAGATAATTTAAGAATCAATTTGTGAGAACGGTATTTTTGTCTTTTAGGATAAAAGGGTATTTTGGTAATTTCACAACGCAATTAAATTTTCTGAGATTGTTTCCTGTATTTAATTTTAATATTAAAATTAAATTAGTGAGATTATATTTAAATATATCTCTGTATATATTTAAATGAATTATTATTATTAATTAAATGTTAATATATTATTATATATATTAATTGATTTTAATTATAATAATAATTAATTAATTAAAATACCATAAAGGGTGTATTTGGCTGCAAGGGTGAACTAGGGTTGGAGCCAATGACTATTCCTAAGTGGAATAGAGTTTTAATTGTTGCACTATATAAGTGCAACTTAAAATTAAAACAAAGTGAAAAAAAGATTCATTCAATTAAAACCCTAGCCACCCAAAAGGTTCTCTCTCTCTCTCTCTCTCTCTCTCTCAAGTTTTCTTCAAGTGAAGAAGAAAATTTTTCAATTTTGATTATTCTTGATTCTTGATGCCGGCAATTGTTCTAGCAAAATAATTGTCGATTATTCGGATTATCTTCGTGTGGACTTCTGTGCGATCCTACATTGGATCGATTAACGAAGAATAACGTGAACAGTAACCGGTGAACAGTAGATGGTGAATAGTAACTGATGAATAGTAGCTGGTGAACAGTGTTCGTTTCCAAAATCAGAGATATTCGGAGGAGCCTCCAAACGTCGGTATGTTCTTAATCCTTGTATAGATTATTTACTATGATTTATTTTTAATACAGTTTTATTTTACGTTTCAGTTTCTGCATGAAAATGTTATAATCTGTAGTCAGATCTTGGTTCATGTAATTGATTGATTCGTTTTAAATATTACGTTTTTCCGTTGCGCGAATCCAGTCACTTACTAACAGTGGTATCAGAGCCTCGGGTACCAGATTATAATGTTTAATCGTTGATTGATAACA